CGCGCTAGCGTTTACAATTAAAACGATCCCCATAATCCCATTTCATTTCTTGATTATACCGGTATTTTTGACGTGGCCCACATTGTCATTTCAGGGCTTCGCCTCCTTTGGCGGTAGCAGCAGCATGAGGATCTAAGCCGATGACAGTTAACTACCTGAACAGCAACCCTCTTTCCATTTATAAACCCAGGGCTCCAACTAGCCCAAAGTAGGAAATGTTTGTGAGATGTAAGGCGCCAATATGCAAGCACATGTGTCTCGATCTAACATGTTTGGCGCAAGCATGCAGGTGCACTGGCCCCTGTAAGAGGAATGCTTAACGCAGGCAAACACTGAGGCAGAGCTTCTGCAGCAGCTCCTTAAATCCATTGTCTCCAAAAGTTGCTCCTAAAAGTCAGTTGGGCTGACACTCACAAAACAGACAACGACATGCTTCCATTGTACAAAACAACCCCCACATGCAAGCCCCAAACTTAAACCCTAAACCCTACATACAGCTTTAACTCTAAGCCGCCCTAGGGCCCAAGCCACTGAATCACTCAATCTTCACCCGCTCTGCACACGGGTGTGCATGTGGGTGCGCAGGGAGTCTAGACCCAAAAGGTCTATGTAGGTATATGGGATATACTTGGGCCTTAAAGTAGGTATATGGGAACCCCTTTGGGTCCTAAGTATATACCATATACCTACATGGACCCTTTGGGAGAGATACAAGGGCACGACCATGAGATTTTGTGGAGACCCCATCTGGGATTCCTTGCGGGCTTTCCCAAAATGTTGAAGCCCCCCCCCCCCTTGGGCTATAGATGACGTTACGGCACCCAATACCGGGGTACCAAAATGGGACCCTGTTTTTGGGAACTACCCCTGTGGATTATTTTGAGAAGCTTGTGGAATGCAGGGAATATGGTGTAGGGTGTATGGAGGAGATTTGGTGTATGTTAATTATGTTTGGGCTTAGAATGCAGGCCTCATTTGTTTACGCAATGTGGGCGGGCCCTTACGAACCCCTGGGATGTGTGGGGGAATAGAATGTATATCCTAGACCGTGATAGGGGGTCTAAACCCTAAACCTTAAACCCTAAACCCTAAAGAACCCTGACCTTGGGATCCATGTGTGGTTAGTTGTTAGATTATACACCTTAGGCATAGAAAGCTTCATGTGCTGGGTTCCCTCCTTAGATGTTCTCCATTTTAATGGCTTAAAGAAAGGGGTCTTCTTGGCCTAAGGTCTCCACCATAAACCGCACCACGCCCAGTCTATTCAAGGTACCCTATACCATGGGCATGCGAGAAATCCAAAACCAATATCAGCTTAGGGTTTAGGGTTTAAGCTTAGGGTACCTTGTTTAGGCTCCTACACTAGCGGCCCATGTGCGCCCATGGTTAGGACCTTAGATAGAAAGATTCTTTTGAGAAGCTCCCATGCTTCCTAGACCCTCATCCCTAAACCCTCATCCCTAATCCCTAAACCTTACACCATACACCCTCTCTACATAAGGTCCAGATGGACAGCGAGGTCCCAGGTAGTGCTGGCCCTTACAAGCAGGGTACCAGGATTTAAGGTTTAGGTTTCAGGGTTTAGGATTTTTGGTTTAGGGTTTAGGGTTTAGAGTTCCAACTACCCTCTATTAGGGCCTGAGTGCCCTTCGCGGGCCCTATATCTCCAATTAAGGGTAGCAGGCGGGTCTATGTAGAGACCTGCAACATACTGGCTTTAACGAAATAATCACGGACGGCGTTATACTTCTAAACCCTAGACCCTAAAGTGAATATTCTTAATTCCAAGATGAACGCAATGCACGGAGATGTTGGTTCCTTTCATGCATGAACTCTACGTTTCGCTTGCTTTTGCAGTGAGCAAGCCTGACTCATGAGATTTGCAGCTTCCAAAAATTGCAATCGCCTGGATGTATCAATTTAATCTGATCACTCTAAAGCCTAAGCCCTGAACCCCTTAGAGACTAACCCCTAAACCCTGAACCTGAAGCCCTGGGCCCTAGACCCTGAACTGCTACACAGAATCTGAAGTGGAAACTCTCTCTTTGCCTTGAACAATCCTCAAAACTCCTCCTGCGCACGCTCTTAACAATGGCGTGACACATTCTACTCCTGCTTCCCTATGCCCTAAACCCTAAGTAGGCTATGGCTTAGGGTTCGGGATGTTTAGGGCCAACCTCCATCCCAAAATTCGACCGCTTAAGTCCAAGAATTTTCAAAAGTGTCTCGCAGAAGACTTCTTTCCTAACGCAAATCCTAAACCCTAAACTCTAAACCCTAACCCCTAAACCAAATCCTAGTGCACCACTTGTAGGGTTGGGAGTGTAAGGCTCCTCTCAATCCCCTCCCTGCATAATGAACCCCCCTAGCACCCTAATTACCTAAAACATATTACCATTACCTACTCTGGTGTGTGTTTACTGCTAGGAGGAGGGGGGGCTTAGTCTTAGGACTCTAAACCCTACTTGAACCCCAAAAAGTATGCAAAAAAAGAACATGCCATTTGCGCTTTGTGGTGGTGTTTTGGGTTATCATTTTACCTACTGTTGGGGTCTAGGTAAACCCTAACGTTGTTTGCGGGGGTTTGGGATGTTTTAGGGATCCTAAATCCAAAAATATGCGGCAGCTTTCATTATTTTCTACCTGAACCCCTCAAGTAGGTAAACTAATAGCCCAAAATCCCTAAAACATAGCCACAAAAGCCGTCATTCTACATACTTTTGGGGTTCAGGTATAGCAGAACGCACCCTACCAGGACGCTCCAATGTAGTTCCTTCTTGGGTTTTGTATGATTTTGGGGTTAGGACTCTTACTAGAGCCCTAAACTCTAATCTCTTAGGACTACCAAAAAAAGTACTACATTGGAGGGTCTAGGTCATTGCTATGCTTGTCTGTGATTGGGTTTAGGGTTTAGGGTGATTGGGTCGGAGCCTCCTTTACCGCAGACGCCTTCCGCTTCTTGCTTTTTGCCCAGCTGCCGAGCATTTCTCGAAGCCTTGGTTTACGGAGGCGGCAAGCTAGTGGTCTGTATGTGTTCTACTGTCGATGCGCAAAATGATGCACCTCCGAAAAATCCTTTAAGTCCTGAAAACGACTCTGGCCAATAACGAGAATGAAAATAAAGCCCTTGCAGAACCAAAAGCCACCAAAATAGTTGGTATCCCCTCAAACAGGACCTGAAATCCCCAAACCCTCTGTGTGCGTGTGTGTGAATGCATTCTGCTTCTATCCCTCTACATATACATATATCCCTAAAGCCTATATATCTCTGACCCTCAAGATCTGCGTGTGTATATATGTATATATATATATAAGTTTTCGCTAGACCGCCTAACGACCCGGACTTCAAATGGCAGCTGTGCGGATTCCTTTGAAAATAAATGGTGGACAAACATCACAAGGCCAACATAACTCACCAAGAGCAGGCATAAGGCTCCGAAAGACACTTAATTCCTGAGGGTTCAGGGTTTAGGGTTTAGGGTTTGGCGGCCTTAGGCTCCAAACCCTTAGCCTTAAATCCCAAGCCCCAAGCTCTAAACCCCAAGGACATAGTCGTTTCCATTATTCCTAAGTCTCCCGGATCCTCCAAGTACCCTTAACCAATTCCAGACTCCAAGTTACACTTAAAACCAACAACCCAAAGTCTTAAACCCCAAAACCCTTAACCCTAAGCCCCACCCCCTGCACCCAAAACTGCATCCAGGACACTCCTCAGTCTCTGCACAGAGCAAGTCTAAGTTCAAGACCTCGAGGCTCGAAGGGACATGCTTGGAGTGATGGGATTTGTTCGAAGTTTCGGGTGCTGGGTTTAGGGTTTTGAGTTTAAGGGTTTAGGGCTTAGGGCTTAGGGTGCTGGGTTTAGGGTTTAGGGTTTAAGGGTTTAGGGCTTAGGGTGCAGGTTTTAGGGTTTAAGGTTCAGGGTTTAAGGGGTTTAGGGTTTAACGTTTTGAGAGCTCAGGGGTCCCTGCATAACCCCAAGTATAACATGAGCCATAATCTGAACTCCTAGTATCCCCCTTAATATCCCCTATCGTAGTCCCCTATATAATCCCCTATAAAACCCTCTTAAGGAGTTTAGACTATAGCTCACATGGTACCATGATTCCTGGGGTTTGGATAATACAGGCTCACGCAGGGAGTTGTCGGATGTGTCCATGCACCACACCTTCTCTCAAACTGGCATGGATGCCCAAAAGGGAACTATAAAGATTACAGGCCTTCCGGAGGCAACTAGCTGAGGTTTAGGGTTAGCTTGGGGGAGAGAAATTCTCTGTATCAAGGCCCTTTATTGCCATAACCCGCGGCCGTGGACTTCAAAACCCGAATCCTCAACAACAGAACCACGGAGCACTTTTATCACAGCCCCGAAAAATTATGAGAGGGCTTTTGCACTCCCAACCCACAAATTACGAGCCTATAGCTATCTCATACAAACATAACGTCGTTGATTCCCCCTAAACCCTATCATAAACCCTAAACCTAAGAAACCAAGCAAACTCGGTTCACATGGAGGCGTCTCAAAAAGGGGGCCCTTTGGGACCCTAAACACCATGAAAATCCTAGACACCTAAGCTGAGGGATGTGCTTTCAGATGTGTATGCATACATGTTGTCTAGGGTTTCAGGCTTTAGGGCCTCATTATTCAAGGTTTTGAGCAACTCACATATTCTGAATATTCTGCACATGGTCTCCCCGGCCTCCCCACTATCCCCAAAGGTCCCAGTACTCAATGACTAGGAGTCGGGGAAGTATACGAGAATTGAGTGATTACTTGGACCCGTGAGAGTATGTGCCCTGCCACAAGTCAAGATCTTCTGGGAGCATTTAGGCCTAGTTATTTCGGCCCATGGTAGTCTTATGATGCACAGCCCAATTCGCGCAGTTCCCTTCTTCAATCTGACTCTCCTTTCCTCCCTGCCTCATCCAGCCCATTGGAAGACCTATGTCTCAAAGGAGTCCTTGGGAAAGATTAGATCGAATGATATGTTTGTACAGACCCAACACCCTCCTCCCTAAAACCTGAGGCCTACACCTAAACCAATCTCTATACCCTGAGCACCAAGTACTTGCAGGCCGTGGCTCCTATAACCTTCAGAGCTTAGAGGTAACTATCTACGCATAACCCTAAACCCTTTACCCTAAACCGCGTAACCCCTATGCAACCCTTAGAGCCCTTCGCAGCAACCCAACAGCCCAACGATCTCCCATCCCCGGCCTCCGTAGAGGGTTCTAGGGTTCTAGGGTACCCCAACCTTTACATTCTAAGCCCTTAAAACCTGCAGCCCAAGCCCTAAATCCTACATCCCTAACCCTTTAAGGATTTAGTCTAAATCCCTTAACTCCGTTACCGCCCTCTATGTGTGTGTATGTGTAGTATATAGGTATATATCCTGTAAATTCCGTTTGAAGCACCCTAGTTCCAACTTATCCCTAACACCTATACCCCACAAACCCCGAACCCTAAACCCTAAACCCTACACCCTAAACCCTAAAACCCTGAACCCATGGCCTCGTCCAGCAGCTTGGGGCTCAAGTTCGGCCGCGACCTTAGCGCCTCGCGCGCGTGGATCCAGATCTGCTCCAGGGCCTGGATTAAGGGTTTAGGGTGTACCTGAACCCGCAAAGTATGTAGAATAATGGCCTTTTGGGCTACATTTTGCGGTTTGGGGCTATTATTTTACCTACTTTTTGGGTCCAGGTAAGGGTTAAGGGTTAAGGGTTTAGGGCGTCTTGCTGCGCGGCAGCTGGAGGTAACATGAAGAAATGGCACCCAGGGGTGTGGGGGCCGGGGGCCTTGCGGGTGTCCAGGGGCCTCCAGGGGCCTTCAGGGCCTCCAGGCCATATTTTGGGTTGGTGGTTTCGCGATTTGGTCCGGGCAACCTCAGGGTCCCCCAGTGCGCCCAGCCCGACCTCCCAAGAACAAGGTTCAGGCAGGCCTAGGCGGGGTGCTACAGTACCGCTGGCTGTGGGCAGGCAGGCGAGCAAGCTGGATCGACCTGGGCTTAGGGCTTAGGGTTTAGGTGGTTTCAGGTTTAGGGTATAGGGTAACTTGACCAATGAAAGTAACACTTATGGACTTTACGGCACAATGTAGGCATTGTTTACGGACCTGAGAGCGCAAGGGCTAGAAGAAGAAAAATACAATCAGGAATGCGAGTGAACGGTATGTAGCAATTGGAGTCTAGGGTTTGAGGGTTTCGGGTCTGGGGTAAAAAGGTTATGGAAATAAGGAATACCTCACCCCCCCAAAACATGTAGTAACAAACACATTTTCTAGCATTGCCGGGTGGGGGGGGGGGGGATCCATGGTACTCGTTTGGAGCTTAAATTTCCGAGAGCTTGCGGTAGAAAAGCTCCCTTTTTGAAGGGATTTCCGGGTTGTATTACCCCAAAACCGCAAACCTTACACGGTGATTTTGATACGTTATTTTGCGAGACGGGGATTCTCAGGATTTTTCATTTAGGCTGAAGAGTTGTGGAGTTGCAGGGTGCGGGGTTTAGAGTTTAACAATGCGGTTCAGGGCTTAGGGTGTAGGGCTTTTAGGCTGTAGGGTTTACGGTTTAGGGAGTAGGGCTTTGGATGTACGGTTCAGGATGTACGACTTAGATTGTAGGATTTAAAGGGTCCAGGGTGTAGAGTTTCAAGGATTAGGGCATCCCCTAAACCCTATACCCTAAACGCGTAGCTTTTAAGGCGCCCCCTCCCCCCCTCCTCAAAAAAAACTTCCTGCGACTGGTGCAGGATCACAGGCCTAGCGGCTTGCGCAAATTGAAAGCAAAAGTGCGAGGGGGGAGATATAAGGTAATGTATATGGTCGAGGGTTTAGGGCTTAGGGTTTAGGCTCCAAACTCCTTAAAGGAGGGACATATAGGGGATAATGTAAGGGTCGTTCTTTAGTGCTTATTAAGCGGGATACGAGGAGTTTAGACTATAGCTTACTTGAATGTCTAGTGGTAACGGTTTGTCCTGTGCGCGTATTTCAGGCAATTGTTTGCAACTGTTTTTGTTTGTTGTTGTGGTGTAGATATATATATATATATATACATATTTATACATCTCTCTCTCTCTCTCTGAATCACAATCTCAAAGTATACCCCACAAGAACAATCCCAGACGTCCCAAAAACTAAACCCCTAAACCTATTAACCCTAAACCCCAGAGGGACTTCAGGGCTTTGGAAAGACTTCTGTCCTTTCAAAAGGGGCCAATGCGGTAGTCCTAAACCCGTAACCCTAATCCCTAAGTATCCTTCTATGGTAATGGGACGAGATTTGAATCTTATCAGCCTCCAAAATCTTAGTCCTTTGGGATTGCGGATTTAGGGTTTGGGGTTCAGAAATTAGGGTTTAGAGAGAAGACGAGGACCAGGGTCTACGTGGACGCCACACAGAACCCCACATCATTCGGGCCATTTCCTTTGTTTTATTCTGTAGGGTTCCAGTTCGGGCTTCGGGATCACTGCCCAAACGCCAACGCAAAACATCTTCAAACTCCAAATCTGTATGTCCGGCTTGAAACTCGGAATCCTAAGTCCTTGAATTCGCCAACACGCGCAACCCCAAGTTCTATGCACAAAAGACACAGTACTGATACTAGTAATACTTGAAAATAAGAATTAGTAGTAGTAACAGTAACAGGAATGGCCATAGTAATGGCAATAGCAATGGTAATGGTAGACTCCACTCCTTCACTCCAACGAAAAAATCCCGGCCTCCAAGCGGAGATTGGCAACCTGAAAACGGTCGGCGCAGGCGAAAAGCCTGGGGAGTCTCCGTCCGATTTGGATTTGTACAGGTTTTAGGGTTTAAGGGTTTAGGGATTGGAGCTTAGGGGTTTAGGGATTAGGGTTTAGGGATTATAGGGTTAAGGGTTCAGGTATTCGGACTCAAGAACCCCCCTACCTAGGCTCAGACTATGGGGATGGGAAAGTGGGTTTGCAGATTCAGGATGCAGGTTATAAGGGTCGACTTAAGAGCAACCTTAGACGCCCCCAAAAAGGCCAAAGGGCAAAAATGTAAACATAATCAAGTATGAAGCCCCTTTTTTTGAAGGTGTACCTAAACCCCAGAAATATGTAAATAAGAGCCCTCACCCCAATAATAACAGCCATAAACGGCACTTATGTTACTAACAGTTACATACTTGTGGGGTTTTGGTATAGGTTACTCTAAGTAGTGTTTAGGAACTCGGGCTTGATAGGCATGACCTCGATTGGGTTGTGGGGCTTATAGGGTTTAGGGTGTAAGTGCTGTATAAAGTCTAGGGTTTAGGGTTTAGTATAAAGTTTAAGGTGTGGACCAGCCACTCTACACCCCAATTCTTAAGCCCTTAGACCCCTAACTTTAATAGTTAAAGCCTAAACCCCAAACGCCAAACCGCAACACCCCCAAATCCTAAAATGAAAACACGCAAACCAGCTAAGTCAAAGCGCTCGCACGCCATTTCGGGTTTCTTTGTAAGCTGCTCCTGGAGGACTTCCTCAGACGGTTTAAGGTCAAGTCAAATTAGGGGTACCTTTAAAGGGGGTTATAGGGATTCTATAGGGTTATCTAGGGGTTATATGGGGTTTAGGGTTTAGGGTCAGATGGAGGGTCTATTGGGATAGAAAAGCAAATGGAAACTACTACATTATAATAAGGTGTAGGATTTGGGCTTAGGGTTTTAGGGTTTCCCAAAATTAGGGGTATCTTTTTGGGGGTCCCAATAATAAGGACTAGGGTATTTTGGGGTTTATGTTGGGGTCCCCTTGTTTTGGGAAACTACCATATCGAGTGGCTTTGGGTAATAAGGGGTCTAGAGAAGCGAAGCATATTGACATATCAGGGTTAGGGTTTTGTGGCCAAGCCTCTCTTTGATCTCCCTAAGTTGCTGTCGCTGGCGACAGCGCTGCAAAACAACCCCGAAACCCTACATGAGACATAGCCTGAACTCCTAGTATCCCCTTAATAAGCCCTGTAATACTCCCCTATATAATCCCCCACAAAACCCGTTTAAGGAGTTTGAAGGAGTTTGGACTATAGCTCACATGGCCCATGGCGGCTTTCAAAAAGAGTGGCCTCGCCTCTTCTGGGGGGGGGGGTAAGGATAATTAGAGTTCAAGGTAGCTGATCATGCCTGTTGTTCAGGATCTATACCGCGGCTCCCTATTTCGGGATACCCCTACATCCCAAATCGACTCAACAGTACCAGCAGTAGTAGTAGTAGTAGTAGTAGTAATGGCAGCAGTAATGGTTGTAGTAGTGAATAATAATTAAATAGTAGTCAAAAGTCATAGTAGCAATAATCGTTATAGTAGTGACAACATATATCGTCGTAATTATCATAGTCGTAGTAAACCCTCTGCAGCATGCACCATAGATCAAGTCAAGCAGTCGTAGAGCTGGTGGCAGGAATTCGGTCTAGGGTTTTAGGGTCTAGGGTCGAGCTTAGGGTTTCAGGGTCTAGGGTTGACCTGATATGCAAGCACCCAAAATGAGCCCTAGTCCTAATCTTGTGCAGGATCTCTTCTGGAGAATATCTACTATCAGGGGATGAGAGGTTGTTTAACCGTCAGGGAGTCAAATACCCTCTCCCAAGGTAACATGAAAACTATTACTATGCCCCCCTTTACCGGACAGTAGTTGTGCTATGAACTTCATTATTTCCGCGGACCTGCACATGTTTCTCCAAAAATCCATCTAGGAGTACGGAGTGACATGCGCCCTTTGGACGTCGAGACACAAGTTTTACATCTGCAGGCGGAAGCAACAGGACACCAAGGCCCCCTTGGCCAAAATCATCTTCAACCTGAAGCGCCGGACACGCCCAACTCAAAACCATCAACTCACAAACAAAATCTGAGCCCCTGTAGGCCAGACATCCCCTTGAAAACTACGCACCCTGCACTCTGAACGCCTCAGAAAGCCTCAGCGCTCTAAACTGTCAAACCCAAAGCAAAAAACAAACAACAGGCAGGCTGCCGTGCAAAGAACAAGAAGCTCATCCACCTCATGTTTGGGTCGGCAATGGAAGGTCTGGGGTTTAAGGTTAGACTAATTGGGGTTGTAGAGGGATGCTATAGATTCAGGGTCCCATGACTTTTCCTAATAATATCATATTAGATTTAGAGGGATTGTATGTGGAGCTTGCGGGATGAACCATGCTTGAATCACGTCCCCCCACTCGCCTCAACCCTAAACCCTCAACCCTGAACCCCTTCCCCCATAAACAAATACACAGTAGCTCTGTCCTAAGTATGCTTTGGCTCTGAAAAGGAGCAGGCTATGTTGAATGCCCAGGGAGGTTGGTTAGGAGGGTTTTAGGGTTTAGGGTTTTTAGGTTTTAGGGTTTTAGGGTTTAGGGTTTTTTAGGTTTTAGGGTTTTATGGTTTGGCGTTTTAGAGTTTAGGGGTTTAGAGGTTTAGGGGTTTAGGGTCTGCTAAACTCACGGATGGTCTCGCTTTCGATTTAGTTTTCCATGTGATGCTCCATCGTGAGGGGAAGCTATCATGGGGATGGTAAGCTGAATGCGGTTCGTGCAGAAGCCTGACTATCTACCGGCATTTTTCCTGAAAGTAGTTTCCAAAGTACTGCATAATGTAACAACTGTCTAGGACTGCATGTTCATGGGTTCTGCTTACAACCCACACCACCACACTGAGCTAACCTAAGCCTACGAGCGAACGGAGGACCAGAGGGGTAGTATCAGGGAAGTGAGTAGGGAACGATCGGAACCCTGAGGCATAGAGGCGCGGTTAAGGAACCCATAAAATTCATTAGCTTCGTTAAAGCCATAGGGGGAGGGGGTTATTCATCACAGGCCTACATTAGTCAACACGTGATGCCGCACCCTAGACTCTAAATGCTTTTCTCGCCTCAGCAACGTTCACACTAGATTTTCTCCTTAAAAAAGAACCCATGGCATTTTCCTCCATGGCCGGCTATCCCCTGAGAAAATATGCCGGGAGTTCGAAGCATGCACCTACGACTCTCTTGAACCATTTGAACCTTTCTCCATGTAGGAACCCTGAATGCCTCTTACTTGGGTAACCTGTACCCTGACACTAGGACAGCAAGACTCGATGTGCCCTAAGCTACGGTCCAGCTACACGATGATTGCGCTGGATCCTTTATGCACTCGTAACTTACTGGTGAAGCACATTAAGCTTCAGGCTCCAAAATCCACACCCTAGACCCCGAGCACGTATTCAAACTCAACATCCTGAACCCTAAATCCTAAGGCTCAAAACAGCCCAAAAGCCTTGTATAGTAGCGCTGGCCCGAAAGCCTTTTATTACGAGTCCTTAGAGCCTTAGGGTAAATCCTAAGTCCTCGACCCTGAAGTGCTTTAGTAAGGCCTGGTATTTGTCTGCCATCGCAGCCACCTCCACCAGTGTTGCCTAGCTGTTGGGAGATTTGCAGAACCCTGAGGGTCCAGGTATCCACCCGTAAGGGCTTTCGGGTTAAGGGCTTACACACCCTAAGCCCTAAACCCCCTTGGGATTACATAGGGTAATAAAGGGTACGGACATGCGTTTGATGGAGCGCTCTGGACATCAACTTCCGCAGGCTTTGCTTTCCGAGAAGCAGCCAACTCCTGCTTCGGGCTATGGGCGGCGTTTTTCTTCTCAGGTGGTTCGGACACAACACTGGATTCGGAATCCGACTCGCTCATGCGGCTAGATCCTGAAGTGAACTCCTCTAATAAGTCCGCGTCATTGGCCCGTAGCTCATCCTCCAAAGGGTCCAAGTACCTAACAATCATATACTTACACAAAACCGATACTATAATTACTATTACCCCAAACCCAAGTACCTAATTACTGGGNNTACTTGGACCCTCTGGGTTTAGAGATCTTTCCCCGTACCTGTTTGATCAAGCGTCTCTTGGCTTTCCACAAGTCACGGAGGTGCCCTTTGCGCTTCATGTACTCTACGCGGAGGACCCTCAGAGATCTCCCTTTGGAGTCGAACAATGCATCAGAAATATGCGGCATGGCGAGCAAGCTGTCCTACAAAGGATAGTGTGGGATAGAAGTGCTGGCTTGGGGCTTATAACCCTAAACCCTCTTGGGGTTACATACCCAAAGGGTCC